TAATGATCCATTGTTAGGCTGATGGTCCTTCTTGAGCATGTGATCAGCTGGTTCTGGTTGTCAGCAGCAAACTGGTTGATCCACTCTGAGAAGGTGCTATTTAAGAGACTGAGCTGAAAACAGCTCCTCAGACTGAGGAAGTCTCTCGGATGAGACGAAATGTTTCTACATTTATTTTTTTTGCTTTGTTTTGTTTTTTGAATGTCCAGAAGACCAGATTTAACTTTTTTAGATTTTTCTACCTGGATTATTGAGCATGCATCAGGATCTACTGTTGTCAGTTACGTGTTTATAACGAAGTGTGTTTATAACAAAGTGATTCTTACCAGGAAATAGAGACAAGAAAGATTAGTGGCTGCAGCACTTTTTACCCTGCTGTCCTTCTTCTCAAAGGTCTTCAGCGTTTCCACGGCCTGATCACACATAAGAAAATGAGAGAAAAATGTTTTGCGCTGGGTTTTCTGTTACAGTAGTGGGTGCTACATATTTATAGTACAGACATATTTCCTACAAACTTAGAAAAAACAAAAACATTTAAGCAAAAACAACTTTATGGTCAGAATATTTTATAGTCAATATAGCAAAGATATTTACAAGCAAATAACGAGTACTTTGATTAAAAAAAAACATTTAAAGCCTTTAAGCCGTTGAATATTGACAAAAGAAACATTTAGCAAAATAAACAACTTCACACGATGTACATACTGTTACACTGAACTTCTTTCTGATGAGATAACTTTTTCAATGAAAACATACACACCTGTAAGTGTTATTTACTGGAAAAAATAACACCAGTATCAGTAAATTAAAGTTGACATCTTTTTCAAACCACCAGCGTCAGCTGCACAGAAGATGCAGAATACACCACTGTCTGAAGGCACCACACACATGCAGCAGCTGTAAAAGTCTGTTGCTATGGTAGGGCTGCACAATATTAGAAAACTTGCAATGTGCAATATTATTGTTTATTACTCTAATTACAATATGGTTTGCAATAAACCAATCTTTTCCTCACTACTCATTTTCTCGTTTATCACTATCATCTAAAGAGGTGTGGGGGCTCAAGGCCAGTGGGAGTCCATTAGATTGCCCATTATACTGTACTGCTAGACTGCAGAAGATGAATTCATGGTATTTATAAAGTATGGATATATGATTTATTCCAGTCCTTTGTGATATTGCAATGACAAGAAATTTGTGATATTGTGCTGCCCTATACAGGTCCTTCTCAAAAAATTAGCATATTGTGATAAAGGTCATTATTTTCCATAATGTAATGATAAAAATGAAACTTTCATATATTTCAGATTCATTGCACACCAACTGAAATATTTCAGGTCTTTAATTGTTTTAATACTGATGATTATGGCATACAGCTCATGAAAACCCAAAATGCCTGTCCCAAAAAATTAGCATATCATGAAAAGGTTCTCTAAACAAGCTATTAACCTAACCATCTGAATCAACGACGTAACTCTAAACACCTGCAAAAGATTCCTGAGGCTTTTAAAAACTCCCAGCCTTGTTCATTACTCAAAACCACAATCATGGGTAAGACTGCCGACCTGACTGCTGTCCAGAAGGCCATCATTGACACCCTCAAGCAAGAGGGTAAGACACAGAAAGAAATTGCTGAACCAATAGGCTGTTCCCAGAGTGCTGTATCAAGGCACCTCAGTGGGAAGTCAGTGGGAAGGGAAAAGTGTGGCAGAAAACGCTGCACAACGAGAAGAGGTGACCGGACCCTGAGGAGGATTGTGGAGAAGGGCCGATTCCAGACCTTGGGGGACATGCGGAAGCAGTGGACTGAGTCTGGAGTAGAAACATCCAGAGGCACCGTGCACAGGCGTGTGCAGGAAATGGGCTACAGGTGCCGCATTCCCCAGGTCAAGCCACTTTTGAACCAGAAACAGCGGCAGAAGCGCCTGACCTGGGCTACAGAGAAGCAGCACTGGACTGTTGCTCAGTGGTCCAAAGTACTTTTTTCGGATGAAAGCAAATTTTGCATGTCATTCGGAAATCAAGGTGCCAGAGTCTGGAGGAAGACTGGGGAGAAGGAAATGCCAAAATGCCAGAAGTCCAGTGTGAAGCACCCACAGTCAGTGATGGTCTGGGGTGCCATGTCAGCTGCTGGTGTTGGTCCACTGTGTTTTATCAAGGGCAGGGTCAATGCAGCTAGCTATCAGGAGATTTTGGAGCACTTCATGCTTCCATCTGCTGAAAAGCTTTATGGAGACGAAGATTTCATTTTTCAGCACGACCTGGCACCTGCTCACAGTGCCAAAACCACTGGTAAATGGTTTACTGACCATGGTATTACTGTGCTCAATTGGCCTGCCAACTCTCCTGACCTGAACCCCATAGAGAACCTGTGGGATATTGTGAAGAGAAAGTTGAGAGACGCAAGACCCAACACTCTGGATGAGCTTAAGGCCGCTATCGAAGCATCCTGGGCCTCCATAACACCTCAGCAGTGCCACAGGCTGATTGCCTCCATGCCACGCTGCATTGAAGCAGTCATTCATGCAAAAGGATTCCCGACCAAGTATTGAGTGCATAACTGAACATGATTATTTGAAGGTTGGCGTTTTTTGTATTAAAAACACTTGTCTTTCATTGGTGGGATGAAATATGCTAATTTTTTGGGACAGGCATTTTGGGTTTTCATGAGCTGTATGTCATAATCATCAGTATTAAAACAATTAAAGACCTGAAATATTTCAGTTGGTGTGCAATGAATCTGAAATATATGAAAGTTTCACTTTTATCATTACATTATGGAAAATAATGACCTTTATCACAATATGCT